CTCTCTCTCTCTCTCTCTCTCTCTCTCTCTCTCTCTCTCTCTCTCTGACCCGTCTCTCCCTGAACTGTCTGTCTTTCTGCAGGCTGCTCTTCAGGAGTTGGAGGAATTGAAACAGATCGTTCCCAAAGAGTCTCTGGTTTACTTCCTCATAGGAAAGGTAATGACTTTAACCCTTTCATGCGTTTAGTTACATCTTCAGACTCGGTACACGGTGTCACTAGTTAACTAAGTAATGTTTTAGATGTATAAAGTGTATTTAGTAGTTTAGATACTGTGTTTAATGAATAGACTGGTGGTTGTTCTGTAAACCTGTGTGTCTGTCTCTTTACCTGGCCCCGCCCCCTCAGGTGTATAAGAAGCTGGGTCAGACTCACCTGGCTCTGATGAACTTCAGCTGGGCGATGGACTTGGATCCTAAAGGAGCAAACAACCAGATCAAAGAAGCCATCGACAAGAGATACCTGCCAGAGGACGAAGGTGAGACAGGTACAGCCATGTGATGATGTCATGATGTGAGAGATCAGTTCAGCTGATGTTCTTTAGTTTAATGTGTTATTATAGACTCAGGACCAGCTGGTCTCTGTCCACCTGTCTCTCATTACCTGTCTGGGTACATCCCAAGTCTCTTAACTGCATCCCTGTTTCCCTCACTTGGGTCCTTTCCTTGCGTCTTAGTCCCTCCCACCAGGGATGCATGGAGGAAACCAAGCGAGGAAATATGTTTTAGGAGACATGAGACGTCCTTTCCTCCATATTGATGGCCATCCCAAAGCTCTAATGTAGCTCTGAGGAGAGAGGAGTGAGGAGAGAGGAGGGATCTCTGAGGAGCCATGAGCGAGGACGCACAAGAACAGACTTCCAGGAAGTGTTTTAACAGCTGACACGCCCCCTCATTGTTCATCAGTCATGTGATTGGACGCTGCAGTCAGAGAGAGCTGGAGAGACTAAACACTTTTTACATCATTCCTGAGTGTTTGAGTTTTATCATTTAAGAGAAACAATAATCATATTCTGGGTTATTTAATATCGACGTCACAATCTGAATTTCAAAACGTACAGACGCAAATAATTCACAAATAAGACGATCGCATTCCGCCGGTAGAAATGCATCCAGATCTCATAAACAGAACACAGGACACAGTTTGTTAACAGACTACAGAGAGAAACACCTCTACAGTGGTGATTACTGTGTCTTTATTAGTATTATTAGTTAGTTATTAAGTACAGTGATCATGTGAATGCACACAAACTTATCAAAAGTCTCTCCAGCTGTTAAAGCCGACTGACAGCTGATCCAGCTGTGATCATCTGATCCACCGTCATCAGAAACAGACGTCGCTTCACGTGACGCAACTGAGGAAAGGACGTCTCATGTCTCCTAAAACATATCTCCTCGTTTCCTCTCTCCTCGCATGGTTTCCTCCATGCTTCCCTGCTGGGAGGGACTAAGACGCAAGGAAAGGACCCAAGTGAGGGAAACGGGGATGACATTAAGAGACTTGGGATGAACCCTCTGTCTCTCTCTCTCTCTGTGTCCACCCGTCTCTCATTATGTGTCTGTCTCTGTCTCCACCTGTCTAGCTGCTGAAGTGGACGACAGTCAGGACAGCAGTATCATGACAGACGCTGACGACACGCAGCTCCACACGGCCGAGAGTGATGACGTCCTTTAACCCCGCCCCCTATCATTAACCCCGCCCCCTGCTCATGCCAAGCCCTGCCCCGATTGGCTGGAGCAGTACTATTGCTAGACAACATTCTGACAGACGGATGTTCAGTCACGCTCTGCCCCTCCTCACTGTCTTCTGATTGGCTGAAACAGACTGCTGCTGCCCTGAAGCCCCGCCCCCTGCCCCTCTTCCTCATATGTCATCAAGCTTGTCTTCTGACATCACAGCTGTTTTTTATGTTCTTTTTATCATCGTTATGAAAATAAATCAATAAAAATGTGTAAACCCCGCCGTCTGTCGACTTCTTGCTACCAACAGCCAATCAGAGCTCTCTGCAGTGATTGGACCAGGTGAGTGAATATTGATTATACCTGTGACAGTCGGGTACAGTTCATGTGTGACTCCAGCAGGTGGAGGTGTGATCACACAAAGAAGAAAAGATTCATGAGGAAACGGCAGAAGAAGAAAACTCAGGTGACAAAGTGGTTCGTTAGTCGACGGACCCTAACCCAGAGCCAACAGTGCAGACAGAGCTAATTAGTTAATAAGTATTATGCAAGAACATTGTGGTCATTATTAGTATTATTCAGGAATAAAGCTATTGTACATTATTAATACTGCGTTTGAGCAGCATTTTACAGTCACTACTTTATTTCCTGTTGGTTCCTTATTGTATTTTTTTTGTAAAATGTATTCTATATGTGTACTTTCTCTGGTAATATGTCAACGTCATAAATATTATCAATCTGTAAAATGATAGAAGTCATTGTTATCGTTTGTACAATATTTAAATATTTAAACATATGTAACTCAAGTAAAGTACAGTTGGATGTATTAAAGTACAAGTACCTCAGAAGGTATATTTATAAATTAGAGGTATTAAAGTACTTCATCAGTGATGCAGCAGGTTACCATGGCAACAGCAGCCTCCTCTCCCAGCATGCAGCAGGAGAGCGCCTCCCTCAGAGAGCGGCAGCAGACGGACGGACCGCAGCCAGGAGGTAAGACACCACCTGTCTCTGTCCTTCACCTGTCTGTCTCTGCTCCACGTCTCACCACAGCTCCGCTGTTCTCAGGCTCTGCGGCGGCCGAAGCGGCAGACACATGCCGGTATTTTTCCGCCCCGCTACCGCTCGTTACCGCTCGCTGCACCGCTCCACCGCCGTCCGTGTGCCTGTTAGCCTGCAGGCTAATGTAGCTTCAGGTCAAAGACAGGAGAGAGAACGAGGTGAACGTGCACGTGTCAGTGCGGATGATTGACAGGTGTTTTTAGGAACATAGTTAATTTAACAAGTTTATTGTGTTGGTCATCTTCTCCTCTCCTCCCTCCTCTCCTCTCTTCCTCCTCCACCCTCTCCTCCATCCTCCTCTCTTCCTCCTTCTCCTCCTCGTCCTCTCCTCTCTTCCTCCTCCACCCTCTCCTCCCTCCTCTCCTCTCTTCCTCCTTCTCTTCCTCCTCCACCCTCTCCTCCATCCTCTCCTCACCTCCTTTCCTCCTCTGTAGTAGTGATGATGGATGGAGACACGCCCCCCCTCGGATATGGCCCCGCCCCTGAAGAGCAGTGCATACTGGGAGGTAGGAATCTGATCAACATATTGATCGACTTATTTATCAATTATTAAGATGAGATGAGAGGAAACTTCTACTCTATCGTCTCCTCCGCCTCATCGTCTCCTCCTCCTCCTCATCGTCTCCACCTCCTTGTCCTCATCGTCTCCTCCTCATTGTCTCCTTATCTTTATCGTCTCCTCATCTCATGAATACACGAGTACATGAATACATGAGTACACAAATACACAAAGTATTCAAGAGTACATGAATACCTAAATGAACGAGTACATGAATACATGAGGACCTATATACACGAGTACACAAATACTAGTGCTGGGCAAGTTAACGCGTTATTATCGCGTTAACAAATTTATTAATTAACGGCAACAATTATATTATCACACGTTAACGCAGTTTTTTTTTTTTTTTTTTTTAAATTATTAAGCGGACATTTTTAACACAAGAACCGGTATATATATATTTATATATTATATATATATATTATATATATTATATAAAATATATAAAATATATGTAATATATAAGATATATAATATATATATTATATATATATTAAATATATATATATTAAATATATATATATATATACACACACACAGTGTGTGTATATGTATGTATGTATGTATGTGTGTGTGTATATGTATGTATGTGTGTGTATATGTATGTATGTATGTATGTGTGTGTATATGTATGTATGTGTGTGTGTATATGTATGTATGTGTGTGTGT